CTAATATTATGTAAACCATTAGTCCATTACATAACATTACATAACATTCATTACATTAAAATTCACATCATACATGTACATGTACCTTGTTTATTGGCCTCAGTCAGTGCCTCCTGTAGTGATACTTTGTTCTCATGAGCCACTTGTAGTTCTTGATGTAAAGACTGGATGTATCTCTGAAGCTTTATTTCCTTCTCTGTTGGATATTCTATTAGTTGATCCATCCACCATACTCTGGTCTTGCTGTATGATGAATACTTTTCTTGATATTTCTTACTAGTGAGATCATTACCATCCAGTACTGACTGTACTATCCACTCACCAGCTTCAATATATACTGAAATAAGGAATAATAATATTATGATAATTTTAAATTTAATAGTAAATTTAAAAGAAGTTTGTAATAATCCTCATTATAATGTTATTTTAATAATTATTATTTTACCTAATTCAATTATCATTGTTAGTCTATTAGTATCAGTGATAAATGTACTCATCAGCTCCTTCACTCCTCCTCCAACATCTTCCCATTCAAGCGATTCACATCCTCCAACAATTACTAGCCACACACAGTGTGGTGACATTGTGACTGCTGTGAGTGAGTGATAGTATCTACCAGTAACAGATTCAGGTAGAGGAATCTGTAGACAATGAGAAATAATTACAATATACATGTACCGTACTAGTCTCGTGGGGCCAGACTCAATTTTTAGAATAGAGTCTGGTTTCATGCCTAACATCAACTTGTGCTTGTCTGGCGGAATTTGGTCGACCTAATCAGATCACTGTTACCATGGTTACATTAGAATCCGCCCACACACGGCAAGTCTATTATCAAGAATGGAACTAACTGAGATATTATACTTTCTTTCTATAACTACAACTGCCAACTGGATTGCCTTTATCTGCTCTGATGGTTAGACAATTAGGCAAGTAAAGAAATGCTTCTAGAAATAATGTGCTTGGATCTGAGATGAATTCAGCTGCCATGATTGCTCCAACTTCAGTACTGCCGGAAAAAGCCAAAAATGAGAAGTACTTTACTGCTTTATTTTTCTTGATGTCAGGAAGCAAGTATGAAGAATAAAATAATAAATCCACAACATTGTGGTGCGTGGGCGTGTTTATAGAGATTAACATTCCTTGCCCATGCAAATCAAAACATTGAAAACATGAGTTAATATTAGGCATGGCACCAGACTCTTATTCGGTAAATTAGAGTCTGGCTAGCGAGACTAGTACCGTACTTGCCCTAATTAACACATCTTTTGATAAATAATAACTTTTTACATGTCTCAGGTCAGGTAGTGCATTGTTTAGATAGGAAAAATTATGAAATGCTCCAGGAGGTGCTTGTTTAGAGAGGTACATAGAAAAGTATGCAATACACCTGTAAACAATGGGACTTTCAAATTACAATGCACTTATCAAAAATATATTATCTTGACCAGGAGGTGCACTCAATAGAAAACAATTGTGAAAACAATAGGTGCAACAATTGTTAATTGGGGCCAGTATGGTATTATAATGTAAATACATGTATGTACATTTATTGCTAATTAATATTAAATTAAAAACATACACATGTACATGTACACATACCTTCTTACAACTGAACTGACCATAGGCGGCTGCAGGATTTGACTACTAGTCGGGCATGGGTGTGGTACAGGAAATGGGGTTGGGCG